AATTGGTTACCTACTACTAAAACTAGTGAATCACATTTTCCTTCCTTGACCTGATGAACTGCTGAAGCCGTATGCTTTCATGAATTGCTGAAACTGCATGTTTTTAATATACAGCAAGTTAAAGAGACTTAGGAACAGATTTTGTTCATAATCTGGGGACTGCCTGTATATATCCTTTTGTATTACAGATTCTTAAGACAAACTATTTTATCATTGAATTGTTCTTACAGTTAATATTTTTTCTCCTGCTATCTGAATAAAGTCTGCTTCCTTATAAAGCCATTATGTCTTATTCTATCTTCTGGAGTAATTCTGAACAACTTCTGCAAGGCAGCCCTCCAGATATATGAAAACATATACTGTATTGTTTCCCCTTTTCTTTTCCTGGCTAAACGTGTTCAATAACTTCAACCATTCCTCATATACTTTTTTTTTCTTCCCAAGCCCTCTGAAATCTTGGTAGTTCTCTTCTGAATACTCTTATTTGCTATTTTCCTTCCTAAAGAGCACCGTCCAGAATGAGATGCAATATTCTAAATGCAGCCCATTTAATATACAGTAGAAAAGAATGATTCAGTTCTTCAGCATAGAAAAGGGAGTCTTTTTATTTGTATTTATTTATACCCACCTTTGTTATTGCTGTAAATAAATCAAGGCCACAAACACACTTAATCCCTCCCCCCATTTACCTTTTTCTGTGGATTCTATTTTTTATAGATGATTGCTTCACCGTTATTGCCTCTTCTGTTGAATGAACCGTTCCTTCCTTCCTTCCCTCCCTGAACAAATTAGATCTGGATTGGTAGGACAAAAGGGAAACCTGACCAGTGCTTTCCTTGTTCCAACAGAGAACAATTGAATTTCCTGAGAATTTCTCACGGCTGATGTATGTGGCGTCATCTGTCATTCTAGTACAGGGCTGTCAAACTTCTGGCCTATGGGCCAAATGCATCACGTGCTGGCCATGCCCATACCTGATTTAGCAAAGGGGGAAAAAATCCCAATATGTCACATGACACCGCCATGATGATGTGAATTTGACACCCATAGTACTGTACTAGTAGTATGTAATCACTAATAAGTAATTTACAACATAGTGGGCCTTTAAGCTCTTTTTGTAAGTGTTCTTTCTAGATTTCAAACTACTTTATCCTTTATCTTACTGAATTCTAGTATCAGCTATGCATTACTCAGAACTGGTGCTGGTAAATCTTTGTCATTGGTACTTTAAAATAGAAAATCCTTTTTGTTAGTCTTCAGTAGAATATGTACTCCTTTAGCAGAAATCTGGGTAACACTGTCCAACCCTTGGTCTAGTTCCAGCTTGGAACTATATATTGTCTACTGGAGAGGCAGCATTCTTCTCAGAAAGCAAATTCTTTGGATGGGAAAATCCATGTTTTATTGTAAGGGAGAATATGAGACTGTTCAAGCAGCCCAATTTTATACTTTTGGGTCTTTACTGGGATCTCGTGTATCAGTTTTTTCATCTGATGCTTAGCTACCATGCAAGAGTCATGCCACTGCAAAAGTAGGCCCTGGAATTTGCTTCAACTCCATTGATTTCTGCAAGGAAAAAAGGCTTGTTTTTGTTCCAAGAATCAACAAAAGTAGAATCCAGAGGCAAGAAATACAAACAGAAGACAAATAGTTGCTTCCTCAACCAGGAGTTCATTATTGGGTTTTTTTACCATGATAGCTGATCCTTTCTTCTTCCTTCATAAGCTCTTTCTTAGCTGATATTTCTCGTTACCATGGGAAGGTAACATAGGCCTGATAATTCTAATTGAATTGTTAGTTTATATCATAACCTCATGTTAAAAAGCTCATCGATCCCTTCAAGTGATAAGGTATTTATCTACAGTTTCATCTTTTGAATCCTGGTTTTTGAGAACATTGTCTTCTCTACTCCAATGTATTTTAATATTTTGATATCATCTCTCAATATGAATTACCGTGTTGATTTTTAAAATTACATTTTTATGGAGATTTTTAAAGATTCTTGATAATTGTTTTTATATAAATCAGTAAGTTTAATATGTCATACAGGTAGTCCCCAACTTACAACAGTTCATTTAGTGACTGTTCAAAGTTACAATGGCACTGAAAATGTCAATATTTCACATTAATGAACATTGCAACATCCCCATGGTCACGTGATTTACACTTGGATGCTTGACAACTGGTTCCTATTTATGACAATAGCAGGGTCCTGGGGAAATGTGATCACCTTTTGCAACCTTCTGATAAGCAAAGACAACAGGGAAGCCAGATTCATTTAACAACCATGTTATTAATTAACCATTTCAGTGATTCACTTAATAAATGTTCTAAGAAAAGTCATAAATAGGGCAAAATTCACTTAACAAATTTCTCACTTAACAATACAAATTTTGGGCTCAATTGTGGTCATATGTGGAGGACTACTTGTAATAAATAACAAATTTCTGCATGCCGTAATTGCAATAAATTCATTTTCATTATTATTATTATTTTTACTTTCAGTTTTTCTTTTTAGATGAGGTAGTAATATATAAATAAACTTTTAAATTTTTTAAAGAACATTTCAAATAAATGGAGGGATACTTTGAGTATCCTATATTTAAATTATTTGTACTCATTTTATTGAGAGGGAAATAATGCTGAGAAGATGTTGGAAATCCAAATTTCATTGTAGTGAAATATGGGATCTCTTAATCGCAGTAATCATCAAGTTTACATATACTGTAGTATCAACTCATTGCTATTACACAGATGTTGCTGAACTAGTGCTATGTAAACTCTAATTTCATTTTAAAACATTCATGAAAAAAAATCATCCCTCGAGTTTTAAAACTTGGTACAGCAATTAAATGTTGAAGAAAAAGTAAAGAGACACTCAGCCAGTATTTGTTGTACAAAAGTGTTTTCAGAGGCAAAAATAATCAAAATAATGTAAGCAAAGCAAACAATTCATATACTCAGCATTTTTAACATTAATATTTTCAATTTTATCTTGACTACATAAAGTATATTACAGTGGTCTGTTTCTTTTAAGAAAAAAAGTGATATTTACATGTATTGTTTCCCATTAATTTCAAAACAAATATCTATGTCACTGCTGCTTTATGGGAATTATGCAAACTTAGAAAATACTGTCCTTATAGTATGAAAATAGCAAGTAATATAAAATTACTGCAGCATTTATTATTTAGAAATGGAATTAAAGCATGACATGGAAGTGTGTTTGAGTAAACGAGTGGTAGAAACCACATGATATTGCTAATGAATTCAGCAGCAAATTAAGGAATACACAAATTGGAATAATGACACACATTTTGGATTTCCTACCTGGTTTTTTAAAACAACAAATTCCAATAAAAGTATTTTCATTTCATGACAGTTAAATATTATACTTTACTACAGTTTTTAACCTTCTCTCCACAGAATTCTAAATTTTGCCTGAGTGATCCTAACTGTAATATATATACGTTTTACACACTTGTAAAAAATTTTTTTATTATAAGTTACATAGTATGGTACGATAACACAATATGTAGCTTTCAGCAAGAGTATGTCTTTTGAAAGAGGAAATGTAAAAATTTAAATTTGCAAGTGGTTTAGGAAAACACTCTGTTCATGTATTAAGAATACTGAGTCAATTTGTTTCTTAATTCCAAAACGCTTTAATGTTTCTTTTCCTCATTTGATTCCTATATAACGGAATGTGTGTTACTTGGCAACCAGCAAATATATTTTAGGATATTTTGTGGGTTGATAGAAGCCCAAGAAAATATTTTTGAAATACACAGGTCATATGCTAAGAATCTCAGAGTAGCATATTTATAATATGCATACTTCATGTACATGTTTGATTTAGCCAAGATTTAAAGAAAAGGGGAAAAAAGCAGGATATAATCTGTAAACCTGCAGATATACACCCTACAATTTGCACTGGTTTCTGGTGCATTTTTTCACAATTATTTTCAAGCTATCAAGTCATGAGTGAAATTGCAGCTGGGTTGTGTGATTAGGAGAGTCGTTAAAGTTTGTTAGAAGAAAATGAGGAAAACACATGTATGCATCTGCATCTTTTAACATGCAGGTTAACAAATTGTGAAGCAGAGAAATTCACTGTTATGTGAAACACCACGTGTTTATAGCTGGGGTCCTGTTTCTGGTCTGTGTCTTTGTGATGGCTTTTTAATTTATTTTTAGACTTGGGTGAATTTAATCAGTTACTACAAATCTGAAGTATAGAATTTTCTATCTTGTTAAGAATAATTGCCATGATATTTACTGCCAGTATGATTATGAATAAATGATCATAATAGGTAGGTTGCTTATTCGGACTATGTGCAATGATCCAGATTCAAAGGGTGAAATTTTATTTAGAAAACATTTTATATTAATGTTATATAAAATCTGCCAGAAATTCTTTAACCAAGTATATTTTTCCTGCGATCACATGTCAATTGCAGAGGGTAGCTGTGTCAAGCCAAGAAAAAGATGTAACTGACTTAAAATCTTCCTAACATAGAAAATACAAGCTCAAACATATTCCATTGCATGTTGACTCTACTGTATATGTATGTGATGTTATCTGTAGGATCACAATCAACATCTCAGCTTAATCTATGTATTTATTTTTTGAAAATGTGTCTTGGGATTAGTAAAAACAATACTATACAATTATCTAAGATACTTGGGATTAGGTTCTAAAGTATGTTGGGATCGATTAAAGTTATGAACTTTAATTAAAAAGACTGTAAAATTTATTATGTTTAATTCAATTCCTTTCCAATATAAATATTCACACTTTCCAGCAGCATCAAAATGACTTTCTTGTACTTTCTGAAAAAGCAATTAAAAATAATACTGGAAATAAAACTCAGAAATACTTCCTTACAATAGTCATTGGTAGCCCTCTTGGAATATTAGTAGAAAATGAGTTACAGAACAGGGAAATTTTGAAGTTGATCATAATTCATGTACCAATTGTATTTTCATATGCACATCTCGGGTATTTTTCCATAAAACAACCAAATTATATTTTTAATAAAACTCAATATAAACTATGTAACATGAATTTCATTTAAATATTGAAGTAAGTGATTGTAGCACATCTGCTTTCATTATTTTTTCACTGGAGATTTCCACCACTATTTCTCACTTTATTTTGCTTTCTAGTTATGAAAACGAACCTATATAATTTGAGATAAACCATGTATCTAGAACTTCCCAGATACCTTATTGAAATTGGAAGTATAATTTTTTTTCCAAAGAAAGCTCACATAATATTTTTTCAGAGATATTATTTAAATACAGGAAATAGTGGACAGTTAATTTTGTGCTTGATCCCCTGCCACTGAAACTGATGGAATTAAAAGTGTCTAAAAATAACTAGTAGAGTTTTTGTTCAATATGTGTAATTACTCTTAAACTGTCAATTGCACAACATTTTCATTCAACATTCTCATTTGCTAATACTATTTTAGTAGAAGGATTAGGATGGTTCAGCATCTTCCTTTAATGTGCAAAACTTCCAGGCTCTTGTGAACTCTTAAAAAAGAAAAACACAATAGATTATAAAATTTCTGGCACAGTGTGTCAAGAATAGTGTTTTCTTGAGACTAAATTACAAAAGTGTATTAAATTGTGGCAACTGCCAATGATCTGTTACTGTTATGCATCTCTTCCCTTCCCTCATTTCAAATATGGTGCCAGAACATACAGTTTTAGCTGTTGGGTACCAACAGATTAAAAATAATATCTAAGAGAGCTTAGTGTCCTTAGCTTTGACCCTGTCAACTGCCAGTAATTCAAGGCATGCCCTGACTTTAGGTGGCTTTTGACTGCTCACCATTTAAAGTGAGCAGTAGGTTATGTGATGAAAATGACAGTAAATTAAAGATGCCAGCATTTCACTGAGGTGCAATCACTTGGCATAATGCTACAGCACATAAAGGCAAGTATACACATAATCGCATCTTAAAGATTATTTATGGTCTCAGACCATTGAAAATATTGTGCTTTCCTCAGGATATCTATGTGCTGAAAATGGTTCTACCCACCCTAGCATCATATATGAAAAATTAAATATACAGTGAACAACTTCAGGGGGAAAATATTCTGCCCTTTTCTTTTACAAGAAAGAAACCAAGGAATTAAAACAAAATCTAGACTTTGAAAAACACCATTAACATGTTATTTTTAACAAAGGAATGCTGGGCAAGTAATTATACTTTTTCCTTTTGCTAACATGAATTTCTATCCTGGCTTTAAAAATTCTTCCCACATTGGTGAAATTCAAATTAAAAAGTTGACAAGGTATGCAATTTGAATGCCTTACTCCTGAAAGTTCATTCATAGGTAACAAAGGCCTTTTTTGGTACATATGGTGAGAAAGAATGCTTTCTTAATATTGTCAGAGTAACACTTGCTGACAGTCACCTGTTCAAATTACTAAGATCCTTTTTTAAAAAAAACTCCACAAGTTCATGTGGATGTAGTTTTTTTTTAATGAAGGCGACCTTAAATTCCATATAATACGGATTTAATTAAAGAAACCAGAGTTTCCATCTTCCATGCTTTTTTGATTCAGTTTTGGATTTTTGCTTGGGAGTTGAGGAGTAACTCTCCTGAGAATAAGGCAAAGGTGCAACCTGAGTTTCCTCAATAGGGTGAAGTTTTCTCAGAACTGGCTGAAGTTTGTCTTCTTGCTGCTTAAAATCTAATTCCACACTAAATAGTGGAAGGAAAAAAAGAGAACCACAATCAGTTGCCAAAATAGGTTTCTGTTAAATTAACATTGAAAATATATGTGAAAAAACCCAGATTCTGCATTCCTCTAACACAACATACTGACAAGAAATACTGTATTGTAAAACAAGTAACATCTGAAATGTAAAACAATATTTTAATATTTTAATTGCACCATGGAACTGTTACCCAACTAAGATGACAAAAAGCTTTCTTAAACTAAGTCAGTCCCTTAACCCAATTATTTGTCTACTGTGAATGGCAGCAGATTTTCTGGATTTAGCCTGTGAATTTCCAGGTTTAGACAGATCTATTCTGCCACTAAGCTAAATTGCCTAGGACACTCTTGTGAAAAGGGTACTTGCAATGGAAATGTGATGCTGGATTTTGGTTGAAGACTTGGCTTTCTTTTCATCCTAATAGGATAAATATCTTGATGGCTGGAAAGTTAAAATTTATCTCTGAACTTCAGAGGTTATGTTTTTCCTTGCAAGGTTATCTTCAATATAAATTTATGTTTATATCTTATGTTAGTTCATCTACTGGTTATTCAACAACAAAATATTAAGAGGGATCAGAATGAGGATATAAAAGTCCCACTAGAATAAGAGATAATAAAGGCATACAACAATATTTACTCCTATACTCTGTGTACAACTTGTACATGAAAAATTAGTTTTATCCCAATATAACTGCAATCATTCCTCCCATTATATTGTATTTATCCCTTGGCTGTTTCAGTTATTTTTTATACAGTGTTTTAAGATACATTTGATAGTACCAAAGAGATAAATAAAATAATTCCAGTAGCCAAGGGCTATTGATTCACCCATAATTAATATATAAACGAGCCACATTCTTAATTCTAAACATGAGTGGTTTCAGAACTCTAATTTTTTTTGTTGTAGTGCTTATCCATATATTCACATAATTTTTTTTGTATATTTTATGCAATTCATAAAGTTGTTGAAGTATTTTCTCTTCTAGTTCTGTTATCTTTGTGAGACTAGATCTTTGCTGTATGTAACTCAAATCTGAACTCAGCTAATTATAAAGTGAGAGCTATTAAAACAGTTTGTAGAATATCATGCCACTAAAAATAATCTAAAAACATAGACTGCCAGGAAAGAAACAAACTAGATCTATTACTCATTTAAAGATCAAAATTGCTATGTAAAAGTAAAGACGCACTCATAAATTATATATCCCAAATTGTAAGTGTATTTCAAACAAGAAGAGGATACCGATGACTACTCTGCAATTAAGAGAAGGAGGGATCCAGAAGAAATTATAACTCAGAGATCCAAATACCATTCATAAAATACGTTTCAGGTTTAATTTATAAAAACAAAAAGACCTGATTTCAAGCTGTAGCAGAAAGTAATTAGTAATGGTAATGCACAGTGATTTAGAAAAAGATAATTGTAAAACAAATTGCTTTGAAAAAAAAATTCATCTTAAAGTGAAATGTTGGTGTTATGAAACAAGTTTCCTCACCTGAGTGTAGTTCTAGGAAGGCTATAATAAAGGCAGAAGGTAATCCAGAATAATCTGGATATGGATATTGAAGGTCTGCTGGAGATAATAGTCTACAGTTGTACTTGATTTCTAAGATTAGAAACTATAGGAACATCTATTTTTTCTTTAAGCTTTCTGTAAGCACCTGCTCTACATCCCCACACAGTTCTGGAACATCTCCCTACTGTATTTCTAGGAAGTACAGATTTATTCGTCAATGTCTTCAAGTAAACATCGATAAATACAAATCTAATATATTTTAAGGTTTTTTCCCACCATATATTCGTCAGGGCAGGGGGGTGGGAGTTGGTTTTGTTTTTGTTTTTTTGTTTTCCTAAATTTTGTTCTATTGTACTTTACTAACTTATTTGATTCTTTTTGTTAGTTTTTTTACTGTTTTTATTGTTTTTATTGTTTGTTTTAAATATGGTTTTACATTGTGTAAGCCACCTCGAGTTGCTATGGGCGAACAGGCGGCAATATAAATTAAAGAAATAAATTAAACAAAATAAATAAATACATAAATATCACTGTATCTTCAAAAAAATATCCTTCAGCTTTTGATGACTATGTTTACAATTTTCCACCCTTATTAATTTAGCAGCATCTGCAAACCTAGTCAACCCAACTCTACTCCTAAGTCAAGATCATTTACCAATAATTTAAAAAGCAACAACTCCAACATAAATTCTGAATACTTTTTCCTTCTCTACATTGCATAATAGCTCATTTTTCCTACTCCTTGCTTTTGTTTAACAAATTAGCCATACGAAGGCAAGTACTTTTACCTATGACTGCAAAGTTTTTTCAAGCCAAGAGTATTCAAGTCTTTGTTGAAAAATCATTAGTCTTTCTGAAGAACGTAATATGTTGATTGTCACTCCCAAAAAACCCAAAGATTAGATACATCTCTATAACCTGCAAACTATCCCTCCATTCTGTCTTACCTATATTTAAACCCTGCATCAATCTAGCCATCCTCTGAATCTGATTTGAGCTGCCATTCACGGGTGTTTATGTCTTTTAATAAAATTTGGTGGGAAAAGCTATCATAATGCTAATTTTTTTTTTTGCACAATTATTTTCTTCTAGTGTCTCCTACATTTCAACTTTTGTGTAAAATTATTTCTAATTTTGACTAAATAAAAATAATTTTGTTTTTCTCCTATAATATGTTACAAGAGGACATGGCTCTTTCCCTCCTAATTTATAAGTCAGAATTGTACATAACCTGATGGATCAGTGTGGGTCAGAAAGTACATTTAGGTTGTTGAATGAAAACCTTAACTGACTGTACACAACACCCCACTGTTCATTACAAAATTAATTAAACACACATTGCTTCAAGACTTACTCTGTTCATCTTGGGAGAGTTTTAAATGCAGATCCTCTCATTTTGCGTTCAAACACATACCTTTTCACACCTAAAATGATGCTGATTTTATATCAGCCTTCATCTACTTTGATGCTCTTAATTTTTTTTTATTTATTTGAAATTTTGGACTGAATGATTACATTTCACAAGTTATAATTTGTTTTCAATTAATCTCAGAATTGAATAGTAGGAGAACCATAATATTTAGGATGAAATTAAAATAAGTAGTTAGTATGGTTTTTTTTGAAGTCCAAGAAAGAAAAACAAACAAATGATACGTTCATTTGGTTTTCCTGGTATTATTCAAGAACTTCAATTTTATAGTGTGTTTTATTCAATTTTTCACTGCAGAAATTAATCATGGTAGATTTCAGATAATTCTTTTGCTGACCAGAAATAATCTTGAATTAGCTTACAGAGCGTTCAAGTTTCCTAAATAAATTGAAAACTGTTATGATAGCTTTCAATGTTTATGTCACTTAAAATCATTTCATGGTAACTGCTTATGGATCAATGTACAAAATATTAAAAAATGTTTTAAGGAAAAGTGTAAAGGGCAAGTCTCTAAGGAAATAACTATAGAAAGAATATTCTCACTTATTTTATCAAATTACTTAGAACAAGGTATGGTTAATGTGACTTCTGTACACATAAGTTGCTAAGGCAGAAATAAATGTGTACTTAAGAGTACCTTAATAATACTAACAGTCTAATATTTTTATTTGTTAATTTTATTCAATGATAAATTTTGTTTGTGGTTTTATAAAATATATGGCTGATTCTGAATGGAAGATATACATGATCTGATTTTTCATTCTAAGAGGATCTATTTGGTCTGACTGAATAATGCACGCAAAATAATAATCCATGTAATAATCATAAAAGTTTCGGGGTCTACTTTTTCTTCCCTTATTAATACATTAAAATGAATTGTTACCCAGAATCCTTTGAATCTGTGGCATTTTTAAGGATACAGACTGACTTAAGTTACACAGTAAAGGTCTTAGTCGTATTTCTATTATCATCAGTGACATTAATATATTCTAATTTGACAAACGATAGTAGTTTGTTTTTTGCTACAAATTATTGAAATATATGCGTAAGAAGAAAAAGATTAGCACCTATGTGACTCTGGACAACCACTCCCTTTAAGTAGAGGGCAGGAATCATCATTCTGCAATTGACTTTTGAGTTGAATAGTTCTTACTTGAGGGATATCATCAAGTTCATGCTTATAACACAATCTTTTAAGGATGAAAGATTGTGCCTCATTTTCTTTATCACTTTTTGGAGATCAATTTTTTTTTACTGAATTCGAAATATTAAGACATTTCATACCAAAAAGTATTTTCCTGTATTCATTAGGTGAGTTACTGCCCATTTGGAAAAAGAGTTTTAAATATGTTTTAAAGGTTTTTAAAAAGATAATTTTTGGATTAAACACCAAAAGGGTGCTTAGAATATGGATTTTAAAAAGTTAAAAGACTGAGGAATTAGGTATACTTGGAATTATAGTTTTGAATTCATTAGATAAATTTTTCCATTTGGAAATGGTAGTTATTTGGGCCTTCTTTTAAAAAGAGAAAACATGATAATGGAATCTTGAAAGTTTGAGACACTAGAGAGAGGTAAAAAACAATAAAGTCATCTAGTTAAGAATTGAAACAAAAATTTTGATGAACATTTTTGAATTTTGATCTTCAAAATTATTTGATATAAATAGATTCTGCGTCAATGAAGTCAAGAAGGACAAGCTGCAATTAATAAGTTTGAAATTAATTTGAATGTAGATTTAAATATGTCAAAGAGAAGGATATTCTCTTCTGGATGTTCAAATGAAACAGATGGATATTCCACTGATTAAAGGAGATGTTACAAACATTTAATTTGAAAAGTGATCCAGATAACTTTTTATTACTGGATTTTAAAAAAGGTCTGTAAATTCTGAAAAATTGGCAGGTTAAAAAAAAAGAATAGAAAACAAGCTATGTGACTATATTTGATAGGGTTAAAATTAAACTGTTAAAAATTCAGGTGAGAAATACAGAGCTAGTTTGATAGATCCAGCTTAAAATAGAGTTAACTATAT